CTTAGACAAATTCTAAAACAAACACAGGATAACTATGAAAATAAAGCACAAAATTTGATAAACTAAAACTTAATTATTACTTCTACATGACACAAAATTCCCAAAGACTTTACAGTTATCATAAAGTTTGCCTCTGTAGTTGGTGATTAAAACAACCAAACCAAAACAAATCCTACAACATACTTTGGATCCTACTTAAGGATTACTTTCCTCAATGTCCACATAGCATAGTTTACAAGGAGATGCTTATGGATTAAGTGTAATAAGAAGAATCTTTGTCAGATCCCTTTCTTATAAATAGTAAAGCACTTAATACAAGAGAGTTTTATGAAGAGTCTGTCTCAAGGTATATGGTACAGAAATTGTGGAACAGGTAAAGTTGCCATGAGCCAGCCCTGACTCTAGGTTCTTACTTGAAGTGTAAGGAGGGACTATACGTTTCTCTAACATGGGTCTTCTCCCTAAAGCCTAGTTGACAGATAAAAAGCAGACTGTTACAAGCAGTGACTCTATAGCATCTTACTATGCTGATGGACAGTGACTGTAAAGGGGTATGTGGTGGGGACTTGATAATGGGGGGAATCTAGTAACCACGATGTTGCTCATGTGATTGTACATCAATGATACCTTAATAATAATAATAATAATAAAAAGCAGATTGTTAATGGTCTGCACACAGTAGGCAGAACTGGTGTGGCAGCTGCAGTAAGGAATGTAATAGAAACTAACGTTTCGGTTCAGGAATGCCCATGGCTTAATGGGTGTTGCATTGCTAATAAACAGATCATATTTATTCTTCAAGAAACACTGCTGCTCCTTTTTTCCTTGAAGGAATTCTGGAATGTCAGCCCACTGGGTGGGACTGCCTCTGGTTAAAGTTCTTCTCTAATAAGCTTTGCTGGAGACCAGGTTTCAAGGGCCAGGTGAGATGCACAAGCAGTGCAGAGGAAGGAGCACAGGACTCTCCTACACAGGCAGAACTGTCATGAAGCCACTCGAGGAAGATGGCTGAGGTGACAAAACCCTGTTACTAAAAGGTAAGCCAGCTAATTGCTGTCTGATATCCCAACACAGACAGAAGCAGAGAACAAACGACTGAAATGAGTAAGTAGAACTGTTTTTTTTATTATGGTATCATTAATATACAATCACATCAGTAACACTGTGATTACTACACTCCCCCTCCCATTATCAAGTCCTTCCCCGCATACCCCATTGCAGTCACTGTCCATCAGCGTAATAAGATGCTAGAGAGTCACTACTTGCCTTCTCTGTGCTATAACTGCCTTCCCCGTGCTCCCCTCCCCCACATTAGTAGAACCATTTTTAATGGTACTTCCTTGTGTACTTGATATTCTTTAGCCCTATTTTTAAAGCTCAAAACCAGGGTGCAGCAGCTATGTGAGAATACAGTAGGAGCGGGTCTCCCTTGCTCTGTCTTTCTGCCTGCCTAGAACTCAGACCCTGGGCTAGTCACTGACTCTCATCCTTCCAGGCCAGGTCCCAGCAAAGCTGAGGGGCCACTCAGGCCCTGTAAACTTTAACCAGAGAATATGAACTATAGCTACCTGTATGGCCTTTGATGAACCCAAGCTGGGGAGGCTCTCCTCTAAGATGAAGAACACAAGCACTGATTCTACAAGCTGGGCATCAGTCACACTCATGGTGCTGAATTCAATTCAGTATGTCCCGAGTGCCTTTTTTACTTGGCTCTATGCTGTGTGTTGAATACAGACACACACATGTAGCTCTTGTTCTCTAAGAGCCGAAGTCCCTTTCCTCATTGGCTCACTCTTTAGTTGGAGGCACAGACACAATAAACAAACTCATGTATTTCAGATCACAGTGATAAGTGCAACGAAGAAAATAATGCTGAAAGACATGGTCCTTAACAGATAGATATTTACTAATGAGAAGAAATGCTGTAAGAAAACAGACATTTTTAATCCCCAAACTTCCATACCTCTTTGAGCACAGGCCTCCCCTGGAATAAGGGTTAAGGCAGATAACTGCTAAATTCCTTTCAACTAAAAAATTCTATGATACTTGGCTTTACAAGAATCTTTCCTACTGAACTTGACCAACCCCACTGAGTAGTTCAACAGTTCTGACTTTTAAATAACTAAATACTATTAAAATTTCAGTAAGGCAAAAACACCATAAGGAGAGATGAAAAACAAATTATTTGCAGCACAGAAGTTTTATAAAACCAAAAGAAATATGAACACCCACTGAAAAATAAGAAATGTGGATTTCCAGTGCAATTATCAAAAAATATTAGATTTCTTTGCATGTACTAGAGGCGCAGTTTCCAGTACAATCTGACACATAATAGGTGCTCAGTAAATATTTGTTGAAATGAATTTAATCTAACCAAGCTCAAGGAGCCAGTTAAAACATTCAAATCTCCAGTGTACAAGGTTTAAAGTAATAATATTAGCTACTTGTGGTAAAGATGGAGTGACTGTAGAAATCAGTATTACCTTCCTGAAAGGCAGTTAAAGTGCCTAACTAAAGGTCCAAATCCATTTTAATATCTGGTGATTATTTAACAAATGGACAAGTGCCCAGTAGTGTGTGTAGAAAACCAGGATATTGGAAATATGTAAAAAAATAAGGGCTCTTATTGTATGCATAACAGTGAAAAACAGGAAATAACTCTAGAATACCAACAAAGGGAATTGGTTAAAACACATACAATATATCAATCCAAATGAATACTATGTAGCCATTAAAAATCATATAAATGTGTATTTATTGACAAGGAATACTATTATGATTATTATTAAAGTATAAAGAAAGTTGCACAGATTTATCATATGACCCAGCAATTCTACTCCTAGGTATACATACCCAGGAGACCTGAAAACATGTCCACGTAAAAACCTGTCCACACAGGTTCATAGAAGCATTATTCTTAATGGTCAAATGTCAAAATAAGTGTCCACTGATGAATAAACAAAATATGGTATACCAGTACAACAGAATAGTATTCAACCATAAAAAGAATGATATACTAATATATGTGAAACATGGATAAACCTTAAAACCATGACCCTCAGTGTAAGAAGCCAGTCACAAAAGACCACATATTGTATGATTCCATTTTTATAAAACATCCAGAATAGGCAATTCCAGAGCTAGAAAGTAGACTGATCGTTGCGCAGGGCAGGTGGACGGGTAATGTGGAATGACTGTTGATGCGTATGGTTTCTTTTTGGAATGATGAAAATGTTCTGGAATCAGATAGTGGTGATGGTTGCACAGCTCTGTGAATATACCATTGGATTATACTGTAATATAACCATTGAATTATACACTCTGAGTGATTTTTCCCAGTGTCATTTTTTACAGACATAGAAAAATCCATCCTAACATTAATATGCGATCTCAAGAGACAGCAAGTGGCCAAAACAATCCTGAAGAACTAGGCTGGAAGTTTCACACCTCCTGATTTCAAAATTTACTACGAAGCTACAGTAGTAAAAAGTGTGGTCCTGACATTAACAACAGAGATTTAGGCCAACACAATAGAACAGAGCCCAGAAATAAACTCTTATGTATATGGTCAAATTATCTTCAACAAGAATGCCAAGACCGTTCGATGGGGAAAGGACAGTCCTTTCAACAAATGGTGCTGGGAAAACTGGACATCTACATGTGAAAGAATGAAGCTGGACTTTTTATCAAATGGATTAAGGACCTAAATGTAAGACCCCAAACTATAAAAATACTAAAAGAGCATAAAGGGAAAAAGCTTCATGACATTGGGTTTGGCAGCGCTTTCTTAGTATAACACCAAAAACACAGGCAGCAAAACCACATGTAGACATAAGGGACCAAAAAACATCTGTGCATCAGAGGAAATCACAACAGATGGATGGGAAAAAATATTTACGATCCTATACCTGAAAAGGGATAATATCCAGAATATATATATATTATAAGGAATTCCTACAACTGAGCACTTGAAAAACAACTAACCTGACTTTAAAAATGGGCAAAGGACTTGAACAGACATTTCTCTAAAGGTGATACCCAAATGGCCAACTAGCATATGAGAAGCTCAGTATTACTAACCATCAGAGAAATGGAAATTAGAAGCACAATGAGGTATCACCTCATACCACTAGAACAGCTACTATCAAATTAACATAAATTGGCAAGTATTAGGGATGTGGAGAAACTGGAACCCTTTGGCACTATTGGTGGTGTTGCAAAATGGTGCAGCTGCTGTGGAGAACAGTATGCAGGTTCCTGAACAAATTAAAACAGAACTACCATATCATCAAGCAAACCCATTTCTGGATTTATGCCCAAAAGAATTTAAAGCAAGGTCTTGAAGAGATATTTCCCCATGCAGGTAACACAGCATCGTTATTTACAGCAGTCAAGAGATGGAAGCAGCCCAGTGTATACTGATGAATGGACAAATAAAATGTGGTACATCCATACCATGGAATATTATTCAGCCCCAAAGATGATGGAGAGCCTGTCACATGCTACATAGATGACTCTTGGGGACATTATGTTATGTGAAGTTAGTTACAGAAAGATAGTGTATGATTGCACTTGTGTGAAATATCTAAAGTAGTCCAATTCATGACAGAAATAGAATGGTAGATGCCAGGACCTTGGGATGAAGGAATGGGGAATTGCTAATTTTAATGGGCATAGTTTCAGTTTTGCAAGACAAAAATGGTTAAGAGAGTGGAAAAGAAAAAAGGCCACGGATATTATGGTATGTGAATTACATCTAAAAAAAAGTTATGTGAAAAATTGTAAAAGTGAGTTATAAAACTGTTTGTAAAATAAAAATGTGTATATTACAGAAATAAAATGTAAGATTCTATTGAAAAATGTTAACAGTGGTTAGACTAAAGGTGAAAAAAAGGTCTGTATTTTCCCACTCTCAGACTACCAGTGAAAATGTATTGCTTTGGTGTATGTTAAAACAAAGCATTTTCTCTATTTAGTGGTAAAAACAAGAAAGGTGATACCTGGGCTGGAGTGTTTGTAGTCACAGGAGATGGCGACTCAGTAGCTTTTGGCTCACTGGGGGACGCAGAAGACCCCTGGGACTCCTGGCTGGCTGGCTGGTCCGGAGATAGGGCATCACTACTGTCTTCATCAAATGAGAAATCACCCTGGGTTTGGGGATAGTCCTCCTTCCCAACACCTGAAGGAAGAAATGATTATTAACTTATCCTGGCCTTGGAATACCAAGTTTAAAGTGAAAAAGGAGAAATACTGCTTACTATGAGAACTTTAAAAGAAAAAATGAATATAATGTGCTTCCCAGGGGAAGAACACACGACGACCTATGATGAATACTTGGAAAAATAAATCAAATCTGAATCAGATCAAGCCTTTGGATCCCACTACAGTTACAGGAAGTACAGGAGGTAAGAAAGTTTTCACCAACACCTGGAGATGCAAATGCATTCAGTAAAACCCAGAATATGGAAGTGCTAGAGGATAAAACAAACCTGTTCATCAAAAAATAAATAGTAAGGAAAGAAAGGGGGAGGAAGACCCACCCAAGCCAAAGGCAATGATGGCACTAGTCTGGATTCCAGTTTGGAAGCCAACTGTTAAAACATCCCTGAGCTAAGGGAGAAGATGGGGCCCCGACTGGGTGTCTGTCTCCTCCACGTCCCACCTCATGGAGCGCCTGCTGTACTGACACCTTACCTGTTGAGGCCCATTTCTTTGGGATTGAATGGAACTGTAAATTGATGGTATGGCTTAGAATTATTCACTACAAATTATGAAAGATTTAGGTTTATACTAATACAAAATATATCCTCCCAAGTAAGTAATGGAAACTATAATAGTCTTTAAAGTAGGATATTAACTACACAAAATTTTTTACTGAATAAGTGGTGTTATTCTGGAATTTCTTTTTTTTTACCCCCCAGCCAAAGCTTATGTCAGGGAAAAAAAAAAAGGCAGCGGGGACAATGGGAACTAAGTATGATAGGACCAAGATAAGATGGACAGATACTACCACTCTTAGTCAATTAATACATCTATACTCCTTGTTAATCACCTTGTGGACTTAACACTGAATAAGCAATTTTTCTTTGTCTCTCTTAGAAGTAAACAGAAGTAAAATAAGGAAGTTTGTAAAAATCTTAAAACAACAGAAACTAAACAGTGCAGTATAACAAATTTAACTTAGAAAACATGGTAATGAAATCAGAGCTGAAATCCTTAAACCTCAGCTAAGGAATCTCTGTGTGAACTGGCAAGAGATGGGGGCTACTGCAGTATGTCCTATAACAGCACTAACAGTAAGAATGGGCTTCAGGGCAAGTGCTCATCATCTATAATTCACCTGGGAAACAACACTCATGCTTGGGGCTGGATTTTTAAATCAGTTATCTAAAACTTGCAAATTTCTCTTTCTCCCAGAACACAGTAAATTCTTAGGATCTTGCCTATAATGGCCTCCTTAACACTGGAGTCTACAGGGAGGATGTTTTTCTCCACCAGCTCCATGGGACCAGGCCGTTGAGCAATCTTCTCATTCAGATCATCGGCTAGTCGAGCCCTTTTCAACTTCATCTGAGTAGCCTGCAGGGACGGCTCTGCGAATGTTTCTAAAAGAGGAAACACAGTTTGACCATTACTTGAATTACTCTCTGTTCCACACTGTTATTTCAGTCCAACTAATTAACTTAAGCTGGTTTAAACATACTTAAAGAGTTCTCAACATATTTATGGAAAGATAAAATGACTGTCTAAGAATACTCCAGTACACATCTTATATTTTCAGTTCTGGACAGCTGTATATTGTCTATACAATATGGATGCCCTCTGGCGCAAATTAATACGAACTTAAGCTAAAAATGAAGTACTGCTATTGCTCATTTATGGCAGGAGCATCAAATTCACATTTATTAGTCACTGGGGAAAGGAAAATGAACAAGAGAGATTTGGTCCATGGCTCAAGAAGTTTATAGTTTTAGATTGGGCTTCCCTGGAAAGTAGTTAATTCCTAGAAGGGAGTACACTGTATCTTAGACTATAACCTTCTCTACAGGATTCTAATGGAAAGAACTACAAACATATTTTTGGACTGATGGTGTCGATATCATAATTCAGATTTTGGGTTTATTTCTGAATACATAACCTTGTAACATTTAATTTCATAGTAATTGATGGCCACAAGCCTCAACTCATCTACTTAAAAATGCATGAAGTTGTACAACAGATGTGAAACTACTTTAAGTATCCTGACTCATTCATTGTGTGATTCTGTCAGTTACTTGTGTTTCTGGTCATTCTTGGTGACATTTAATTACACTGTTCTAAATAATGTTTGTAACTGATTAAAAATAATAATGAGGTGTTAATACAAAATTCTGAGCTGAGAACTGCTTGCCTCTTAAATTATACCGAAGTTCTTTTAATGAAATTCCCCATAAATAATCTCAGGATTAACCTTTGTTCCTCATTCCATAGGTGTCCCAGCAGAAGCCCAAAGCTCACTGAAACCCCATAGCAATAAACTGCTTTTCAGCACACCTGAGCACTTCTCTTTCCATCAGCTGTTATATGTTCACCAAAAGTCAACTTTGATTATCCAAAAAATGGTTCTTGTCTGCTACTGTCAATATGTAACTAAATGGGAAAATGATAAACTTAAAATTATTTCTTGGAAACCTAAGTTAAATGTTTTGGAATGACTTATCATTGTCAAATTAGGATACATACATAACAGCTGTAAAAGATTTGGGAATAAATACTAAAATCTAGGATTTTTAAACAGATTGCTTTTCAAGTGTCTGTAAGTTTTTGTTCCATCATAAACAGAGACTGTAGTTTTCCATGGAAATTGTATAGTGGCTGTGCTTTATGCAAGAAAGATGATGCAAGCTCCATTCTTTGAAGCCTTCTCCAGAGTGAAGGGCCTAGCCCTAGGTCAGAAGATTGGCAAATAAATGTATATTTCTGTAAGTTAAAATAATGTGTGTGCTTGTCTCATTTTTATAATTTTCCCACATAACCTACTGTGGCCCAATACTCTTAGATAAAACACCTCTAACCACACAGGATGACAGGTAGGAGAATGATACCCTAGGATGAGGTTTAAATTCTTCTGTTATGATCTAGGTAGAATGGTCTTGTTTTTCTCCTCTCTCCCATTAACACCACCCAAATGATATCAGCAATATGTTTAGAAGGAAAGTAGTCTAAAAGCAAATAATCAGAAGCTGGCATTTTGGTATGCTTTTGTTCTTGGACTTATTACCTCCTCATCTCCATGAGGCTGAGGCTGGATTTTAGCAGCTAAACTTCAGAAAATTATTTAGACTTTTTCCTGCCAAATATCCAGCTAAATCAAAACTGAGATGTTAAAATAAGTTAGGAGTTGTTTTAAGATATTTTAAAAATTATAGATGGAATATTCTTTCTTACTTTGAGAATCCCAACTTGAGAAGAGGTGTCCTAAAAACACCACTTAAAGTTCATTTATATACATGGTTAGGCTTTTAAATGTAGAACAAAAAAAAAAAAGAATAAATATGATTCCTTTTGATAGCTAAATGTATTTGCCTTGGTTCTATTATATTAATAAAGCCTGTTATAGTTAGAAGGCAAGTTGAACAGACAGCATTGTCCTACAAAAATGTCCCTTATTTATAGGTCAAGATATTTTCAGGCACAGAAGGAGCCATTTACCCAGTTACTTACCAGTGAACTTGCTTCTTTGAAGACTCCCTTATCCCTGACAGCTGGCAGTGCTGTGACCCTACCACTGGAGTTCTGGAAAAGCTTTTCTAGTCCAGTGGACTTCTGAGAACACTGCCCAAAGTAGAGTAAGGCATACACCTCTCACTTCCCAGCCCCAATATAAGGATGTCACATTCCTTCAATTAGAAGAGACCCTGCTTGGGATTAGAGAGACGAGCTTGATGGCTGGAACTTCTTTACAGCATCCTTACTGTGTAGCCAGCCTGTGCTCACTCCCCACCACAGCAGCCTGTTTATTCCCTAGAGAGCAGTTTCCACAGTCCGGTTTGTCTATTTACTATCTGTCTCTGCCTCTAGCGTGTAAGATCCACAGGGGGCAGGCACCCATCTGGCTCACCTGTGGGGTCGCTAGTGTCTAGCTTGCTGGCCAATAAACACCTGTAAATAATGGTGACCACATCACTTCCTGAAGATTTTATTTTTGGACATGTCTGACCTTTAGGATATTATTCCTCATGTTGAGCAGCAATCCAGTGCTTTGTAAATCAACCCAATTGTAACTGTGTCAATAGGCCAGAGAGAACAAATCTAATCTTCCTTCTACCTTTTAATTGTCTCTACATGTTTGAGAAGTTTTCAGATTCTTTCTGTATCTCCTTCAGGTTTAACACACTCAAGACTATCACAGGGTCAAGTTCCCAGTCTTGCTCAATAAATCAGAAAAGCAAAACAATTTAAGAAAATGTAACGGGAATTTATGATGGAGATACCAGCTTTCAAGAATGCTCTGTCATCAGAGAGAAAAACATCCTGGTCTGAGATACAGGTCTCACCAAAGATGGAATGAACTGTCCTACCGGTGCCAGGAGTCAAGAGGCTAGATCATCATGAAAATAAGGTTGTCAGATCAAGCTGGACTGTTGTGGGTAAGCAGCAACAAGCAGAAAAGGCTAGATGTGCACCAGGTAGATATAACAGGGTCCAAGTAGTGAAAATCTAAGGTTAGACTTGTGGCCATTTTTCCCTTTATGACCCATTAGGACCTAATGAGTGGGCATATGTCCCTTACTGTGAAGAAATCCTCTGGACCAAAAATGTTTTTCCAGAACAGTATGGTAGACACCTGTGTACCAGCTAGGGGAAGAGTCAGTCCATCAATTGGTTATTTGGAGAATCAAACCTTCCCCATGTATCTAACATAACATTTTAGCTTTGGGTCTTCATGTTGCTATCCAATTTGGAGGATGTCAGCCTGTGGGGTAAAAAGTTATTAAAATGGGAATAAATAGAAATGGTAGAATTCTCACTTCTTTTCTTGAGAAAATGCAGTAAAATAAGCAGAAGTAAAACTTCTACCTTCCAAGATATGCATCCTGACAAGTTCAGAACGATCTGGTCGGCTCCGAATCTTATGCTTCAAAAAGTTTTCAGTCTTAAAAAGGGGGGTAAAAAAAAAGACAAAGTCTTACCATAAATTGTTTACGACTTACTGTGGCTTTACATTTTTTTTCTCAAGGTACTCTGTTTAAACAAAGTGTATATACCCTTTTGGTCATGATTTTGAGAGAAAGGAAAGAGTAGAAATTAGTACTTTGAGAAACTATTATCCAATACATGATTTAAGTTGCAGCCTTCAAAACTGTACAGGGACTGGAAGTATATGTTGGTATAAAGCAAATACTTTATAGACTTACATTTTAAAACTTGGAAAAGGCAAAAGCTCAAACTTTAAAGGTTTTTGAATAGAGGATTCTGACTATTTAAATATCTAAAATCAATAAAGTCTACACTTCAGGCTAAGTAAAAAGCCACCCAGACAACAAACTTCTTAAAATCCTTGATGCATTTTCTTTGATGAGTTCACATACTTGATCTTATTTTCTTATTCATAACTCTACTCAGCTCTATACAATAGGGCCTTAAAATGGATTTTGTATTTTAGAAGACTAAGAGAACACTACTGCATCCTAAGAAAATTCTTAAGGAATTTTTGGTACATGATTATTTTCATATTGCATGATAGACATTTTCTCTATAACAAAAAGAACAAATGTGCATAATGGTACTTTCAAAGAAAAATAACAAACATAAATTCAACATGCAACTCTGATGGAATCATCTCAACAATAAAGCAGAGTTGAATGTAGCAACATTTCTTTTGTCAGCCAAACTGTCCTACCCTTGGTCAACTGTAACACAGACTCAGTGGGGAAACCACCTAAGGGCCTGGGACCAGCACATCACTTGGGCTGTCCGTCTGCAGGGGTAATAAATGGTAGGATTACTCCATTATGATTCTAAAAACCGCTGTGATGCCCTGAAAGCAATAAAGTGAGAAAGTAATGACTTGTCCTTTATGTACAAAACTAGTTACTAGTTTTAAAAGAACAAAATTTGAATGTTAGGTATTTTCTATAAACTCCATGGTAAAACTACCCCAGAATATATTACTGTATAAGTCATGTATCCTAAAAATACATTACGTTTTCTCTACTGACAAATTTAGGAGTAAGGCTCCTATTTGTCCACAGGTTCTTTAAAATAAAAGAAAGCAGCACAGAAAAAGAATATTTTAACTGAAATGTCTTACTCTGGCTCGTTCTAAGCTTTTTATCTGCTCATGGAATGCTGCTGGGCTCTTCAAAGCTGCAAGAGGAAAAAAGAAATCATTTCCATGATATAGAGGAGTTAATACTTCAATCAATTGTTATAGTATATCATGTTGATTTTTCCTCTTAATCTTATTAGTTTGCATCTACAATTCCATTTATTTACTAGTGGCTCTAGGAGATCTGCAAAACTTGAAATACTAAAATGTTTCAGAATTAAAATGATGTATTTCACAATAAAATAAGTAAACATTTTCAATGGAGTTGTATGCCTAATAATGATGCAAGTATCAGATAAGACTAGTTCTAATCAATAGTTAGGGCAAATTACCATCACCAAGGAAATGGTTTGATGATTCCTTGACAGGTCTTTGCTCTTAATGTCACTCCATTAAACCTGTACTCTATGTCTAGTACGTCTGAGTTACTGTTTACCTAGAACCCACAATGGGCTTAGCCTCAGGCTCTGCGGTCAATCACAATTGCACTGCTGTTGATCATCACACACCTTGGAAGGTAGGTAATAGCTCCAGTACAGATGAAAAGCTCAAAAAGGTTAAATGAATCCTTGAAGTCATATGGCTAGATTGTGATCACAGTGGGATTTAAATCTAGTTTTGAAAAGTTCATGCTTTCTACTGTACTACAATGCAGCTCACTGAAGACACAGTGTTTCTTTAAGATGTCCACTGCTAATACAGTAAACATTCCAGAATCCCAGAGTGAGAGTAAGCAGAGTTTACTAAAATATCACCTACTATGGTGTTCTACCAACTATCTTTGCAAAATCTTTTGTGCATATGCCCACCATTGCCTGATAAGAACCTACACTTATAATTATGGGCAGTCAGAGGATGTGGATGGGATCCAGGACTCGGCTTACTCAGCTGTCATCTCCAAAACTTGGCCAATCAGCACTTTCTTGGTAGCATTATTTCCAGCTCTGGTACTTGAAGCATTTAAAAAACTCCCAGGAGCCCAGGACAAATAGGTTTGGCAAGGGACCAGCTCCAAAAAGTAGACTAGAGCTGGCTTAGCAATGGTTCTTAAACATCATGGTCTGATCCTGCTTGACTGACTGGTTCATAGTCAGGAATGTAGTGGTAGAGCAATCTGGCAGATGATCAAACCAGCTTTTAACTCTATCTCAAAGCTAGATTAAAAATATTTAGATAATTAATAGTCCAGAAAAAAAAAAGTTTTATTGGGAAAATATCAACTGCCGAGAAAAATTCCTTATCATAAAACAAAAAAAGGTAGTATTAATGGTTCAGGAGACTGGGAAGCATAAATGCACTTGATAATTGCACTCCAGTTTAAAGACAAATGAGTTACTTTTTTGACAAATCAATTTTTAGACAAAATCCATGTATATAATCTAAATAGCCCCCACAAAACCACTAGAACAGAAAACCACCTCCAAACTTGGTGATTAAAGAAGACAATTGGATAAATAGTCTATAAATAATCAACTCTCAGAAATGAAGGAATGAAGCCCAGGGATATTTGGAAAATATCTGTACTTTGGCAAAAAGGATTTATTAATTATAAATAGAATGTTTGTTAGTCCTGTAACTGAGATACACTTAACGATATAGAGCATATAATAGTATCAAAGATAATAAGAATTAAATAATATTGAACAAGGTTTTGAATTAATTTTATCATGTTACTTTTCCAAATTTAAGAAACTATTCATTATGTAGGGTGATTACTTCAGTTATTTCAAAACTAAAACAAATGTTGATGCTTGAAGTAAAAACTTAGCCTAAGTACAGGGTTTCAAAGGTGTTCTCTGTATAACATAAAATTCAAGTCCATCTTTTCAACTACATCTGGTTTTCAAAATGTATTCTAAATGATTCTTCTGGGTTGACAATGCCGATGCCTGGATTTTCTTATAAACTCATTTGGTAATGGTGTATCGATTAAATGGAAACAACTGGAGGTAGAGCATATGATACAGGATCTTCTTGGACATGCCCATCTGTTACATCACACTGAAGATGACAGTGGCACTGAAATCTTACGTGGCATGATGCCCTGGTCCACGAGTTGCTCTCTCGTTCTCCTTTGCTGCAGCCTCAGCTGGAGCACTGTGAAAGGAAATAATCAGCATTGGCGTTTATAAGCAACAGTATGAGTCAACTTACAAAGTTCCAGAGGAGACACAAGTTTTATTGAATATCTTCTTTTTATAACTGAATAAGGATACTACCTGGCACCACCCAACTTACAAAAAGAATTATCAGTTTGTGATTTCTGCCTGTTTGGTGAACTCTGAAGTTCTCTCGGCGTATTTTTTTTAGTTAGTTAATAATCTTAATTCTGATGAATAAAGCTAAGTATGTGTTGTTTAAATACAATCAGATGGTACTCAGCAAATAAAAACAGTTGGCTTATACATTAAGACTTGTTAATAAAAAAGTCTTATTTGTTGGACTAGAAATGTGAGATTCCTTGACATTCCTTGGTTTTGTTCTGATATTTAAACAAGCTAATGGCAATTTATTTTAAGGAACGACTGACTTATTTGGAGGGACTTCCTCCATCTGGAACAAATTTTAAATAGCTTTAATGAAGGCCAAATGTGTAATAAAAATTAGGCCTATGAGATATTACTAATGACCCAAAGGAAAAATTCTAAATTAAGAACTTGAAGTTTAATAATCTTTGCATAAATATAACATATCTCATTCTACAAGTTCTAAGAAAGCCACAAATCAATCGATAATATTTTAATGAAGAGTAAATACATTGTTAGAATTTGTAAAGAATGAGGTATACATTACAAAATGTGGAAATCCATTTGACAAATTTAATAAAAAATAATCCCTCCCCTGCACTGCCCCAATTTCTCAAGCAGCTTTCTCTCATAGCATCTCTATATTTTTATTTAGAAAATGAGCTGATTTAAAAAACAAGGAATCCATGAAGTAACTTTGAAAAATATTTTCCTTGGTTTTACCTTACATTCAATTTTAAGTTTCCATTTTGATTTTTGTTTCAAATCATGGATAAAAACAAGGTTAGCATTACTAGGGATCTGCTTAAGGGCTGTCAATATGCTGCAAGAAAATACCTATCTGTACTTCTTAAATGGTAAAGGAGGATAGAATTATCTAACAAGGGGGCAATGGCTGGAACAAGAGGCTGGCTCAGAGCAGTCTTGTACCCAGGCTCAAACACAGCACACATGGTGACTCCTGCTTGTAATAAACCTGAGACCTGAGCACGCAGGGCTCTGGGTCTTCACAGCCTTTGCTTTTTGCTTGCCCTTGTGCTGACTGCAGAGCACAGCACAATCCTAGGTACACTTCAAGAAAAATCTAGACTGTAACATATCTTTTAAACATATTTTTTTATTCATTGCTGGAAATGAAGGTCATTTTATTATTAAACTTTTTAAATTAATTTTTTTGTGTTTTATTAAATACTTTATTAAATACTGAATTTTTGTTTGCTTCTTTCTTTCTTTTTGGGAATATAGGATCACAAAGCTTTGCTGACATCCCAGTTAGAACTGAAGCAACTGACAAAAGATTCTACTACACAAAAGAAAAACTTAATGAGTCAAAAAATATATGCACGTTTCTCCCATTAAAATGTTTTGTGATACTCTGAATCAATTATGCTCTAACAAAAAGATCTTTTCCCTGATAACTTACAGTTTATTGAGGATAATGAGTTCCCGCTGTACTTTACTAGGAACAAAAATAACCAAAGACATGACCTGTGGATCTGATAGCACCCAATTGCCTGTACACTCTAAATTCTTCTATAAATGCTAAAGTTAATGTGTGTCTGAAATTAAGATGGTCGTTTTCAAGAGGCAGAGTCCCGAGAAAAGGAATAGTAAGAGGAGAAAAGGGTCAGAACAACCTCCAGTTCAAAGGCTGACACTTCTGGAACATGGTGGTCCGTGTCTGCTGGAGAATGGCTAGCAGTAGTCTTTCCTTTCTCTTAAGGGAGTCCTCAGAGAAAGGACTGAAATAGAAAGAGTAATGAAAACATCAACAGCCCCCTTCTTTGGTTTAAAACAAACAAAGCACCATACTTGTGAGACGAACGTGTCAAGCGCAGCATGTGTTTTCGGGCGAATGGCATTTTGGAATGATAGAAACATTTGCAACAACTTCATCTGCAAACCAACCCTGACAACAAGAGCTCATTAGGCTTGAAGCATCTCCTGACTGTACAGGGGTCAGCTGCCCTCATGCACCTTGACAGCAGCCCTGTCAGCTACATCACCTTTGACTAGAAATCACACTTCCACCCTCATGTGTGGAGGTATCTGATACAATGAGGGTAACACACAAAATGAATGCATGTTACAATAAAACAAAACCAAACATAAACCATTTGTAGTTTCTATCCAGTTTTCTACATGGCAAAACAAACAATCCACTGGGGTCATACTGTTGGAAGGGGGGACAATGACCTTCCCAGTCAACACTTCCATCACTGCCTCATAATTTCCCAGAAGCCATATCCTTGCATTACAAGCACTACTCAGAGCAGTTGTGGTGTGCAGTCTGCCCCAGGCATGCTGACTGGAGGTTGCTTAGATTTTCTAGCCTCAGAATAGCCTGCGTCTAAGGCTTTTATCTTTTATTTACAAAATCTTATTATCTTAATGATCAGAGAGGTAGTCATGGCTGTGGGGATAAGATGCTTTATCAAGTTTCTCTGGGACCTTCATGAATTAAGCCTGGAGACCATCTTCCACCCTTTGCAGCCTCCACATTCTCATGTCGGGGTGGGGAAAAGGGAACACCCAGGTCACTGACTGCCACTGTGCCTGCTGCACATCTGTAGTTTGTTAAGACAAATGAATAAACCGGTATCCTGGCTAATCTCTGGAAAAGCTGACCCTCTGCATGTATTGACAAGGCTGCATTTCAGTAGCCACGAACGAATGGTCCCCCACTGCTCTCTGGTGGTGGCAGTGGGTGTGGTGGCGGGTACAGCTGCCTGAGAAGCCAGCTTCCCAGGCACTGCCCTCGGGTCTGACAGCTGAACCCTAGAGCATTCTCCCCCTTATGCCTAGTGGTGTTATTGGGCTGGCATTATATCCATCCTATTAGTAAGGCGCTTAATATTCGGTGACCTCCAGTCATCTTGCAAGCAATTACATGTAAAAAAAGAAAATATGTAAGTCTAAAGAATTCCAAGGGAGAAAAACAGTTCAAGACACTCAATGCGTGAGTGGCTACGTCTTTCAGAAAACAAAGGACATAGTGATAACAGAGTGAAGTAGAATTCATGCTACAGTTGTTCTTTATGTCTTTTAATGTCTTTTGTCTTTGAAAAATGTAGAAACTAAAACAAGCAAAAGCATGGTTCCAAGAAGTCCTTAGTTTAAAATGGTTGGGTCAAACCCACTTAATTTTCTCAAAAAAAAGAAAGAAAAAAAAAGATGGGGGAGAAGATATATAAAAATTTTTATCTCATTATACAACTACATTGTATTCTTTGTGTAAAAACATTTACCACAAGCTGAGAATTCTCTAACAGCTCTGTATTTCCTAATGACAAAACTCACAGGAGGTACAAAAAGAACCCACATCAACAGGGAGATGAGTTTACAGAGCCATTTGCTTACCCTCTGCAGCACATCTTTTTTAACTAGCCTTAGCCCAAGGCTTTTTTTATTAAAAAAAATATTTTCACCTATTATGAGTCATATCGGTTCATTACACAAAGTAAGTAAATATAAAAAAGGATGAGGAAGAAACTAAATAAGCAAACGATCAGTAATATCATCACCTAGAGACACATAACTACCGTTACCATATTGGTGTATTTCCTCTTTTATCTAAGCATGATTTTTGATACTCTGCTTCAACATACGACCATACTGTATACACAATGATATTCTTATTTTAATGGCCACATAAAACATTCTGTTGGGCGGACATGCCATAGTTTACTACCGAGTATCTGTTTATTACTTAGGTTGTTTCCAATTTATGCAACTTTAAATAATGCTATGGTAGAATTTATGTATAAACTTAACTCCTTATTTCCAGGCATTTTTTTAATTCCTTGAGGGAGGAATATCCCTATGTTTCTGTATAATGCATAGCCATAAAGTAATGAGACTGATTTCTTCATGTACAAACCAGTATCTTCTGAAATTATAGCAGCTGGGAGGACTGAGATACAGACTACCTTATTCCCACTTCATTTAGAGAAAACATTTTTCATTACCTACTGCATTTTTCTAAGGTGATGTGTCATTATCTAACAATTTATGGTTTCCTATTACATTTCAACGAAGAGGGAAAAATGCATATAATTTTGAAAATCCTACTTGTTATTCCTTGTTACAACAGATAAAAACAATATTGTGTCAACAGAAGAATTTTGATACTGCTTTTTTACACGAGTAAAAATTAGATTTTTAATCACCATTCCAAAAAATAAAAGGTAGCATATCTAATGGTAATGAGGAAATGCCATTCTCATTCAGCATCAGTTTTGATATTAACAAGTATCTTCTTTTAGTTCTCTTCCCATTTCTCAAATAGGTTACAGTGCTTTTACAACAAAATTTTAGGATTAGCTTCCAATATGAAAAAAAAAAACCTTAAAATAATGCCTTTTACATAATATTTATACCCCACTTCAAAATTTTCACCTGTTTTTTGAACTAAGATGATGTGTCTATTCTACTCTCTCTTGTTTCTGTAAGTAGAATGAATGTTTGAAATATGGAGTAATCAAAGTGTCCTATCACTCTAAGAAAACACATTATGTAGCATTCTAATAACATATAGCAGTTTACAATGAGTTGAAGAAAGCAGTTTTGCCTAAGGGGCTTGCAAGGGGACATCTGAGGACTATATATTATAAAAACAAGGCAGAAATGACAGTTTCTGGGAAGCAGTATGGCAGGCAGCCATGGTTTGGAAACTCTTTATAAATAGCTGGTTTCAGTTATGCAGTATGAAGGAGGGTGGGCTAAGGAGGGGAGGGGAGATGGGCTGCTGTGGCCAAGTTGGAGAGGATCCCATGTATGCTATTTAATTACAGGACACTGGACAGAATAAACTGCAGAATCATGAGGGTGAACAAAAGCACGCACCTGAGC